GAGGTTAAGGACAAAAACTCTAAATTTAGGAACAAAATTATATATTTAATTATTATTTCCTTAACTTTCTTGTTCAGATTGAATTCAGCTGAACACGTGTTGATAAGGAATATTACAGACTACTGGTTCAAAGTATTTCCAGATTCATGGACCTATAAAATACCAGTGACATTTCTTATAAACACTACTAAATCAACGAAACACAAACAATATCATAATTTATATCCTATCAGTTACATTCAGTCCCAGAGAAACACACCCCTTACTCCAGAAATAGGAATATAGCTCAAAATGTAATGACCTAACCAGTTCTCAACCTGATTACGTTTCTTATATTTCGTGCGGAAAATGGATATATTTTGTTATATTTTATAACCCTGCGTGATGAAGTAATTACAGTCTAAATCAAATTTTTAAGATAATTTTAATTGAAGAGTTAATAAAAATAACAAACCAGCAAAGAATATATTTAAGGTCGCCTGATACGAGAAACTGTTTGCCTGGAACTTTTAATAAATATCTTACTTATAACTCAATGGCACGTGCGTGACTGTAATTATAAGGCCGGTAATCCTTAATATAGTCTAATCAAAAGAGTTACGTTTCGAGATTTCTTGACAAAAAATGGCTATATAACTCATGAATATTTAGGTGGTAATAATTTTTAATTACAAAATAGCTTATAGACAGACCAGTCTGAACACACTGGTAGAGTTACTCGTATATAACAGAAAATATTCATTGATATATTGTGGATTCAACCAAGCTTAAACATTTATGGCATTAAAGATGGCTGTCTTCTGGGTTGTCGTACCGTATCGTCTTGTAGAAATTTAACGACTCATCGCCATGATGATGGAGGCAGCAAGGACCTCTGAAACGTCGATAAACTCCTACAAGACTATACCAGAAGACAGCCATATTCAGACTCACAGCCGTTACAACCTCAAATCTTATATTTATGGCATTGGCGTTGTGATATAAGTTTATTTACATGAATTTCAGAAAATCTACACGTCTGACAGAGAAATCTTTTATTCATTCTATAGCTGTGGGGATTTATAATGGGCATAACTGGTAGCGTTTGAGATGAGAACACTTTAATATTACACCGGTGTCCACGGATAACATTAAGGGTGTGTGAGGAGACATGTTTACAAACTTACTCGAATATTATGACAACTACACTAAAAAATACGCCAATATTTCACGTCATAGGTACATATAGTCACGAATAAAAGAGGAATTTAAAATATAAAAAATGAATCATGTATATAATTTAAAAAATGTCTTTACTTAAAACGGTTAATAACTTTAAACTCAGAATAAATAACGTTAGAGTATAATGTTTAGATGTTAGTTATAACTAATAGCAATTTGACTCATGCATATTTAAGCAATTATGCCATGGACATTCAAGAATAATATAAAATGCCCGCGCAAATAATTATGCAAATTCTGGACACAGTCTGTCTGTAATTTATTAAACATAATACATATTACTTATGTGTAAATAATGATGGTCAACATATCAGTCAAGATATTCTTAACAGTCTTGATGGACAGGTTTAAATTAACCAAAGGCTACAGTCTACAGCTGAAGATGAAAGAAAACTTTGTCCAGTACAGTTTGAGTCATCTGTAACGTATTTATGTTTACTCGCTATATCAACTGGGGTGACTAACTTCACAACACACGTCATAATCAATCACACTGTTCTGCGGTTATGTCTATAATTAACAGAAGGCATAAATTTATAGAGTTTGTACAAATACACATTTTACTATCTTCATGAAGACGTGAAGTTTGAAGTACAAATGTATATAGAAGACATATCAAATGTCCGCCAAGTTTTTTTTCCGCTGATTTCAGATTAACGAGCTCCTAAACGCGACTTTACCAAAGTAGTCTAAATGTTTATATTTAAATTACAAGATTAATACATTCTAGAATGTTGTGTAGTATGGTAGACGTTTACCGACGTTTCACAGATGCTTGCTTTATCCATCAACAAATGTCCCTAATGATAAAGGCAGAATACAATAATCTTCAAACTCGTTGCTTTTTAATCTTAAAACGTACGCTCACAATTTCCCGTCGCATCTAAATGCAATCTTGTCCTATCCTCGACGTCACATGAATTCACACACATTCAATACAGCATCACGGTTTCTGTATTTCAGTTCCCGCAAGGATTTTGGTAAACGTTGTCCTTGACGTAGCCCCATAATTAAAAATTTAGGTGTGTGAAGTCGGGTGACCGTGGGGGCCACCCGATAAGTCCACTTCAACTATCCACTTACTGGGGTACGTGGCATCAAGAACAGACGTAACCCTGCATTGATAATGCGGTGGAGCAGGACTTCTGCTACCTCAGTGTCCTGTTACGAGACTCCAGTCACTGTCTTCTCAGCGAAGAAAGATTGTCCATAAGCCAAATCTAAGTGTTCGTCGCTATTTTAACCAAGTTGCATATGTACGAAAATAATCGAGAATTTGGCGTGGTCGAAGGTTCCCACGACGATAATTATGAAGATTGGCTTCCATGCCGATACACCGCGTAGTCAGCTACATGTTTACCGACGTTTCATCTTCTAGGTTCCATCAATTATACCGATGATGGAGGCAGCAAGTACCTCTGTAACGTCTGTTAACGTCTGTTAGACTACACTAGCAACCCAGAAGAATCTGTGTGGATAAACTGAGGTATCTCCAAGGCTAGTTAAGATAAATTTATTAAATTAATGCTTATAGCTGTTTATAGCATACAGGGTGCCCCAAAAATACGTATGTGTTACCGGCAATGTACAGAATGCCTAAAGTCAGTAGGCAAAATTATGAAATAAATCGAAATGTTAATATTGTTTGGTCGTGTAAGTTAAAATTAATCAAAATCGATTGGGTGCGCTATCAAGAAGGAGGTTGTGCGAAAACACCAAGCTAATGAATTTGAACATAACAAAAGTTTTGAGAATTAAAAAAAATTGTTTCATATACAAACCTAACCTAACAAAAGTTTTGAGAATATGAGATTCAGTCAATAAAGTCTTTCAGTTTACTCTTATAGCTCCAAAATAATATACACATGATCTTCAAGACACGAATGTGTGGAATGAATTCGTCTTATTCACGAAAGTGTCCACCAGCGATCTCTTGCGAACATGATAATGTAACATCAGGTTTTATATACGGCGAGGAAATTGTTCGCTAGATGAGCGACTATTGCCATCTGAGGAAGGTATGTGGTCAGTGATGTAGGTTAATATGTCATGTACACAAGAACGTCACACTCTGATTAAGTGTCTAGCGAAACTAGTTTTATTGCTTACGGTAAGGTGGATTCTGAACCACATTTGATATCAACACTTCTTCTATCAGCAAAGGAAACTCAAAGACAGAACACTATATTTCATACTTCGCGAGATAACAAGCTACAGAATACGATGTTTGCCTTTGGTTTTTTGGACACTCAACATCTCTTTGTTATGCAAGCAGATCTGTGAGTTGTTTGACGACGTAGGACATCACTAATTTCCTTTGAAGTCTCTGTGAATGGCTTCACTCTTTGTCGACACACAAAATGCCGACTGCTATTCAAATTCGTTCTACTTGTGAAAATGTTAATGTTTCATTTTCATTTCCGGGTCTAGAAACTTCACTAACTGGTGCAGTATCTAGAGTGGAGACTGCCTTTACGGTAATAGTCATTCTGTCAACAACCTCTGAAACGTCGATAAACACGGCGTTACAACCCAGAGGACAGTAATCTTAAGATAATTCTTGGTAAACAGAGCTCAAAGTACTGAATTTAGATGCAAAATAAAGAATTCTGTCTTACTCTTGATGAAACTCTTGGGTTTTCAATACTGTTAGGATCCAGTTCGGTATCGTATTTTTTGAAGGATTTTTATATTTTTATGGAAACACTTAGGCCTATGGAACTTATCGAGGAATTATCAGGTACTGGATTCATTGGCCGCTTAGTAGGTCATTAAACGGTAATGTAAAAACTGATCAGTTGTCATCTTTCTCATCCTGTCGTATAATTTGACGGACTGGACGTAAGTTACGATAAATCGGCTCTGGCCTGTTTAAAGACAATTTTCGCGTATTCCGTCGGGCGACCGAAGACAAAAACCGAAGACTCACTGAGACCCGGATGGCCTACATCCAATTCAATTTAATCCCACTGCCCTTGTGTCACCAGACTCATACAAAAGTGACGAGTTTTATTCAAATTTCATCCGAGTTACCGATTGTGGTCTTGTAAGTTTTGACACCGCGTGATCTTGAGGTTACCAACGTTACTCAGGAAAGTGCCGCCTTCAGTTTCAACTTAAAGAATAAAATAGACATTTTCACCACCGCCCTGAGAAACCCAGGAGCCAACTAGGTAATTACCAGTGCGGTACCACTGGTGCAGCCAGCTGCATTACCGATCCTCGTGATACATTGTTCCACTTTATGATTTTCGTGTTTTTCCTTAGTTTCTAAAGGCACGTGCTGGTATATTACCTTAAAGTAGGCCACGACCGCATGATAGAGCTTTGTCAAATAAACCGAGAATCAGTCTCGTATTACTGGTAATTAAACTGTCGGCCAGTTACCTGTATGTCGCCATGACAACGAATTCAAATGGATGTATGAAATAATTTCAAGTTTTAAAATCTCAGGGCAGTGAAATGAGATATATTTTATGGTTAAATATCTGGGGAGAATGTCCATTTATTCTATATCTTCAAATTATTATAAAAATATGCAATAACATCTATGAGAAATTTGTTGCTCAGCTTCTAATACACCGAGAGTGATTAACTTAGCAGTCAAGAAAGGTATCGATTACTTATTCATTCAATTAACATTATTACGACACCCCGTCAGAATAAAGATGTAAGATTTCCCCCCCAAAATACAAAGATAATAATGGCTTCTGAGACATTTCGTTAGTAAAAATACAGAATTTCTAGAATAATATTAAAATTAAAAGGAAAAAACTGACCTTTATGAGTAAGTTCTGCCCCTTCCGTGATTGCTGGTCGCGCAGAGGAACTTCCAATTTAACACTTCCTTGAACACATCAAAGAATCAGGTGTCTGGCCTTTATCTGGAACAAATACCAAGCAGTGCAATGAGAAAATCTCATAACAAAACATTCGATTTTATTCTAAATTATAATTCCTTAATTATCTGCTTAAGTTCACGTTAGGAAGTGAAATTATTAGAAAATAGCTGTCTTGTGAGTTGTAGCATCGTGTAGTCTGGTAGAAGTTTACTAACGTTTCAGAGGTCCCTGCTGCCTCCATCATCAGACTACACGGCGCAACAACCCAGAAGACAGCCATCTTCTGACTCACAGCCGTAAAAACCTCAAATCTCACAAAGCAAAAATTTTTGTTTCTTACCAACGAATATCATAATAAAATTTCTAAGATAAATAATAATTCTGTCCTATTTTCGTATTACTTATAATAAAAGTTAACTTAAGTACACTTTAATTTCTCCGACATTTAATCTGCCAGCTACACGTTAGGGCAAATACAAACTTTTATTCTTTGGGGGTGGCGATGACAAACATGAACTGAAATTCGACCTAGGAAAATAAAACTGGAATTCCGCTGCCAATTTTGTGAGTTTATGAATTGCATTCGGTATGAAAATTAATAAACTGCATAATACATGCAGTAAACTAAATTATTATGCGAAATTGAAACACGCGAATAAAGACTTGATTGGAAAAACTTAACTAAAACTTATGTAAACTTTCAAGGATTTATGGACACGATTAATTTTTTTTACAATTTATGTTTCTCGAAGATCTGACCCGCTCACGGAGATTAAAATTTATAAAATGTTTCCGAGTGATCGAGAAACGTCGACGTCTAGCGTATTGGAGACCGACTGTCTGTCATTTTGAGGCTAATAGACACATAGAGACCCTGCCTTCGAAGTCAACCGCTGACCTGTGTAATAATAGTGGGCGTAGTCAAGTGTAAATCCATTCAAACCCGAATAACAGTGACCCATCACTCGCTGAATTCATTGTTATTCCCTGATAAAGAAACCTTTTCAATTATATAAATGGTTAACGCAGTCAGCTGCAGGGAAACATTTGGTCGTAATATAAATTTTATTTAAAAATTGTCGGAAACAGATCAGGATATAAAACACGTCTTTGTAACCTTTAATCGTGACAATTTCAGTCCGGAATGTTAAAAACCTCGTCTCCTACCCTTTCGCGTCTAGAATGGGTTTGAGACGGGCTGTGACTCATATTTAATGGAATTCTTCTACCGGGAGACTGGCAGCTAAAGCGGGAAGCTGATCACTCACCTAGGGCTACTGCTGAAATTGACAAGTGTTGAGATTTATATGGCGTGGCGCGACAACTGTAACTTCTATTTTGCACAGCGTCTCCTGACAGCTAGAATAACGACTGATATAGCTACAGCCCTGTTCTTATCATTCAAAGAAACTGTAGTTGCAGGACTTTAGATTGTTTCTTTTATCTGTCAAAATATTAAGGAATCACCCTCTATTAAGTTTCTAAGATTTACATCCCTCAAAATTATCCTCCATCTCACATAATCTTCATATTAATTACATAATTAATATTTCGGCTTAAGAGACCCATAGTCGTGGACGTTTATAGATATTCGACAAACAATTATCAATAAACTGATAAATGCATGATTCATGTCTCAAACAATATGTATTATATTAAATGAAATGGACCAAAAATATATACAAAATAAGTTGAAGATGATTTTTTTATTATTTTAATTACCTAGGAAGATATCTGCTTTGCCTGCTATATTTTGACCTAATTCATTCACTTACAAATTATTCCAACATAATACTTTTACATTTTAAGAGGCTTCCGTTCCAATAAGAATAACAGCAAGTTAAATTGTTTTCTGTTGCTGTCAGAATTGGTTCTCAGTGAAGAAATTTCTTATCAGTTGGTTCTTTAAAGACACTAACTTCACCACATAAATTATATGTCTTCGATTAACTATTAATAATAATTGAGTGGCAGATAGCTGTCCGCGGTGGTCACACACCGTCTCGTGAAAATCGAATCATGTGTTTTGTATTGTAATTAATTCAAAAACGAATTATATAGTCTTAAAGTTTAATTTACTTGTAATGAGAATATTCAATTAAATTCAATTCATTTATTAAAGTGCTTAACAACAGCCAAAAAGGCCAATAACAGCCAAGCACTAACAATACAAACAATACAATACAAAAACAAACAAAAATAAACTAAATATATAAATGTACAGTGTTAATTTAATGCAAAATAATTAATAAGTAAATGAACTAAATATACCTAAGTCATATAATTAAATTAATAATACTAAATAAAACAAAACAGAAAAAACGTATAAAATTAATACCACAAAATAAAATAAATAAAATATATGTTCATTTTTAATATATTTTAAAAGGACATTATGTGCACCCAAATCCAGAAATTAAGCAGGCGTTTCCCATTATCAACAAAATAAAATGTTAGCTCAATATAGGAACGTTTGTATGAAATATCACAAGAACCGTAGCAATGTTAAATAAAACATTCCCGATTTATTTTCAGTCAGCAAAACCCTCATTTGTTTCAAGAAAGTAAAATAATTAAAGTTCTGAAATGGTAACATAAAACACCCATAGATTCACCGATTGTTTGCTTGGCGTTCGTTTCGTGATAACAATGATCATACATGCAAGCACTTTCGTCCTGAGCATGTTTCATGAGGCAAGTTTTTCTTGAATAAATTTAAATAAAGACGCAGTTTATTACCGTTTTCAAAATTGTTCAAAGTTCGAATCAAGCTTTATATTCTCACAGATCTTGTTTTCAAACAAATTTACCATTCCATATAAATTTTAGCTCCATACACGTAACGGAAACTCTGTAGATAATCTAAGTTTTCTGTAAACGCTACTAAATTTCCACTCCAGCTGTTAGTTTCGAATTATTTGTATCTCGCTTTGTTCGATTCTCGCGTGTAATTTTTCTGTCTCTTATATCAAGCAGGTACAAGATAATTATCTAATTAGTGCTGGTATTATGAAATTGTAGTTCTAGAAACTTTGTTACACAAGAATGGGTCTGAACTATTAACCACAATTCTCGATATATAAATGCGTATCTCAATAAACACCAAGCCTTTCCTATGTTTCAGATGAGCGATAAGTCTACTATCGATCGCCACTCATTGCGATGAATGGGTCGATTTATCGGCAAGCGAGTCCAGACGGTTGTGACGCTAATATAACAGATAACCTACTTTACGTTTAACTTCGGAAACCATAAAGTCACTACAGGTAACACTTCAGTATTGCTGCATTTGAAGTCAAGCTTTGTCGGTAATATCTAACAGATTCAAAACAGTCGTTATAAGGAACAAAAATATATACGTATCACTCAACGCATTTATAGCATTTCATGTCCATCATTTGTAACGAACACACGCATTTTGAAACTTAAAACGGTTTTATCAGTCATTTACTCCTCCGACAGTTTGTACGGATATCATATTTCTCATGTTTTACGTTTATAAACTGTTGGGTTATAAAACTAAAGTAACATTCTTTTAACATGGTAATGATTCCAGACCTGTTTAGCGGTTCCGATTGTATCGTAATTTTGTGCTAGTAGAATGTCAATTGTTTTTTCTGTGTTAGCAACTGATTAAAAACATTTCATCATTGACAACTGCTTGGTTTTGGCTGTAATTCACTTACACAAGTACGCGACACCCATGCGTTCAGCCCGCGCCACTACACGACATTCACCGGACACCAGACATCCCAAAGTGGCAGGTCTAAGCCCGAAAGCCGGCGGACGGACGGGTGAGTTTGAGTGAGAGCGTTCGTTCCGACTTGCGGGTGGAGTAAACGATCGATAGACTACGGGGCCAAGCCTAGGAACAGTTCACTCGGCGGCCAGCTGAGGGGAGGTGGGTTGGCATTGCATATCAGTCACCGGGAATCTCTTCACGTAATGGACTAGTCCATTCCCTGACCTACTTTTCAGTTACGTCGAAGCATAATACAGCAAGTTGGCCAGATATAAGGTTATATAAACTCTATTTTATACGACACAATGAATAATGGATTTCAGTGGGTAGACAATGGCAATCTAATGTTGAAACTCGTATTAATAATTTCACAAATATTCTGATTGTTATACAGATGCTACTTCAGAGTCCGCCACCTGCAACCCCTTTTCCTTAAAAATAATACGTTCACTACTAATAAATTAATTTCACGACATTTTTATTCTTTATAGTCTTGAAATTCTGATTTCAGAATATAGTAGATATTAATGCCTAATCTTCTGTCTTACCATTTGCTTCCTAATAAGCTAGGAATTTATACAACCGTATTTTTTATAATGTTACCAGTGTTTGTGTTTGTTCTCGTCTTAGTTATAGACGTGCGGGTATGAGAAATAAAGAATACAAACCAAAACAGAGTAACGAGGAGGTTTGTATTAAACTATAACAAAATGTCCAAGAAGTAAAGCAAAGTGCCTCATGATTTGTACTATATACAGTACGTTGTGTTTTATTTAAATAAAAATATGTTAAAATGAGCATGCAGAAACGCATAAAAAGATACCATTTAAAAGTCCAGGACGTAAATTCAGGAATAATCTTCACTTGGGCCCAGAGTTAGGTCAAAAGCGACCTGTTTTGGCATCAAGTAGCCTCCTTAACATTTGTCCAGGTGTTCCTCGTCCGAAGCGTCTGAAATAAAGGCGTTGTACCGCGTGTCTACAAAATGTTTCATTAATCTAATATGACCTTGTTAAATATAATTTTATGATACTGTTCATAATTCCCAAAATTTGCAGCATTCTCTTATTTTGTAAATTATTTTTTCTTTCCTATTAATATTAAATACTTCACCCCAGATATATGAATATATTTACACGTTGTAATTAATATTATTTATTAAATATGATTCTTTCTGAAACTAGCCCACAAATATCATTAATTTTTATTTATTATATTGTCGAGTAATTTGTTTGTCACAATTCATTTGGTATGTACATTTTATTTAATATATATTTTATAAATTAAATAAAATGTATAT